CGGACTGTCAAAAGAACAAATAAAATCTGTCTTGGAAGAGATGTGGCCAAGACTGGTCCTTAGAAATGAGAATGGTGAGACTTCAAGTACTTTGGACATGTTGAAGCCCCTGTGTCAATCCATCTTATTGAGAGTCATCCTCTTTTGTGCAGCCCTTCTACTCTACCAAGCATGCTGTCTTTTCCAAGACTTGTATTTTAATGTCAGATTTGTTAATACTTACCTTCTAGCCTACAGTGTAAACAACTTTTAGAAATGTTAATGTGTTCTTGGGAAGAATGTATATTTTCTAATAGTTGAATACGGTATTTTCTGTATGCCCATTAGGTCCAGCATCATTCAAATTATTGACTGCATTGTTCAAATCTTTTATACATTGATGATATTTTTCTTTTATTGTTCCTCCTTATCAAAAGTTGATACAGCTTAAATCCATTTGCCTTTTCACTAATTTGTCCTCCCAGTGATACACTGCCCAACTATCGTTTTCTTCAAATCTACCAATGCAGATCATCTTTTCTCTTGGGATTTTTATGTAGGTTTTCATTAAGCAAGCATGCCGATCTTTCCTTTCCCACACTTATATATCTTGTTTTATTTTGTTAACTAAGAATGTCTCTAAAATTTACAATAATACAAGTAGTAATAATAAGGACATCTAGTATCAGTCCTGGCTTTTAACTATTTTTTTCTTTTTTTAATAAGTCATTTTTTGGGGGTTCATACAACTCTTATCACAATCCATACATACATTCATTGTGTCAAGCACATCTGTACTAATGTTGCCATCATCATTTTCAAAGAATTTTCCTTCAACTTGAGCCCTTGGTATCAGCTCCTCATTCCCCCCCTCCCTCGCCCTCCCTCCCTCCCGCATGAACCCTTGATAATTATAAATTGTTATTATTTTTTCATGTCTTGCACTGTCAGATGTCTCCCTTTATCCCCTTGCTGTTGTCCATCCCCCTGAGAGGGGCTTATAGGTCGGTCATTGTGATCGGTTCCTCCTTTCTCCCCCCACCTTCCCCTTCCCCTCCTGGTGTGGCTACTTTCAATATTGGTCCCTTTAGGAGTTCACCTGTACTGTATTTAAGTATACTGTTCTAAATTTTTCTATATAGTTTGAGTTAAAAAAAAACCTTTTATTCCTAGTTTGTAGAGCTTTTTGTTTTCTTTTAGTATCATAAGTGAAAACTGAATTTGATTGAATATTTCTGTATCTGTCAAAATATTTCATACTTTTCTGCCATAAATATCAATACTATGTTCTATAATAATAGATCTTATAATAATTCATCTTTGTTCTTTTGAGACTAATTCTTGGTTCTAATGACTTTTTAAAGAGATATTACTGGAGTTGAGTTAGATTTTATGCAGCTATGTTATTAGGTGAAATGCCCTAATCCAATTTTTCTCTACCAATCTGGTTCTACTAGCCTTGGATTGTCAAAATTTTTATTTGTCTTTATATGAGATCTGATAGGATTATTGAAATTCTAAAAAAGCATGAAATGTTAAAATTACTAAACACTTTAAGAAGATATTCTGGAAAAAGAGCATAAGAATAGAAGATTACAAAAACCTATAAAATGGTATTTATTTTTAAGTGTTATAGTTTAAACTTGCTGATTATTCTTTTTGTTATTGTAATATTAGATATCATATCACCTTTTATGTGTATGGTGTGGGAGAAAACTGTGGCGATCTGATTCCATAAAGAGTTACAGCTGTGGAGACTGTGCAGAGCAGCTCTGCTCTGTACTATAAGGTTCTTGATGAGTTGAAATCAATGTGATTACATGGGATATTTTGATATATTTGTTTTTTAATTATTTAAATATTTAAGAAAATCTGACATAATGGGCATGTGTTTTTAACCACTGCCCTCCCCTACAGTAGTAGTACACTAGGCTAGGGTCAATGAAGCAATGCACTAAGAGGTGGGGAGAGAAGCCAAGGGGATGGGTGACCATGATGAGTAATAAAGATACATTTCCAGAAATGAGTGGTTGGCAGGACTGAACCCTGCGAAGAGCTCTCTCAGAGCCCACCTGGAGCTTGTCGAGCTTATTGCAAGCACTAGAAAGATGATCACAGTGCTAGCAGAAACAAGATCCGATATAGCACATCTGTTATTGGAACAAATTAAAGAGTAAATATAATTTAATATAAAAATCATGTGATCTAAGTAAAACCTAAAGTCAAGCTTGGTGCATTTTAAATAAATATGTAAAATAGAGCTTTGGAATCTATGTAAGTTACTGACGACAAGCCTGGAAGGTGGTAGAGAAAATGTGACAAGTAGTAGAATGCTTTACAAACCAAGAAAATTAGAGCGAGTGAAGAGCAGGCACTTAGGAATAGTGGCTGCAAAGTATAATGATATTTTTCGCCTTTCATTTCACTGTTTCAGGAAACACTATTTCAAAAGGAGAGTGATCCAATCTTTAAGATCCGTTTTAGTCACTTAAAATTTTATTTCCTTCTCAATTTACAAATGCACTCAGTACCCCTATATTTTGTTAAGGGATAAACGGATGTTTAAATCTTAACAAGCAATTTAACTTACATAAAACACATTTTAAAAACTATCAGACTACCTTTTTGTTGATTCACAAAAAATGATGGCTATTTCTTAACATTGATATGAAAATGAAATAATACAATCTAACTAGTTTATTTTAGTCCCTTTACATTTAATTATTTTTATTTCCCTGCAGTTGAACCATTTCCCTGTGCTTCTCACCAGCTTCTCATTAAACCAGAACAGAGGCTAGAAGGCACAGGGCGGAGTGGAAAAGGGGCAGGGGGCTGTTCTGGAGGCACAATGAAGGGACATCATCGTAAAGTTCAGTAGAAGCACACCACATGGGTATCCATTGCTCTTCGTGCAGTAGCACTATTGTCTCAGGGACCAGTACTACCAATCTACACAAGGGAGAATGATCTGCACACTCCCTCATTGCAGGCAGCCCCAGATTACTTGCTTCACTCACAGACCATCGATTTCTCTTGAGCACCAGTTTCCCACAATCATAGCAGCCTTGGCGCCATACTGTTTCTCAATTGGGCTGCTACCTGCAAGGTCAACACTTTGAAACTACCAGCTGCTTCACAGGAAAAAGATGAGAGTTTCTACTCCCATACAGGATCACATTTTTGAAGACCCACAGGACCAGTTCTATCCTGCCCCGAAAGGTCACTATGAGTGAGAATGCACTTGATGGTGCTGAGTTTGCTTTGGTTCCCACAGTCCTGTTGACACTTCAGTTCTAAGAGTGGTATCAACTATCTTAGGGGATGAACTATCACCTTCTTCCTAGCCTTTGGGAATTGCACCATTCTCTGTTTTTCAGTTTTGCTTTTTAAACTCTGCCTAATCTTTGGAAAATCCAAAATCAAACCCAGCCTATTCATAGCAACCATATAGGATAGAGTAGAACTGGGCCTTAGTGTTTCCAAGAGTAAATCTTTAAGGGAACAGGCATCCTCATCTTTCTATAAAGGAATGATCGGTGTGTTTGAACCTGGTGATTAGCAGCCCAGTGCTCGACCCAGTATACCAGCAGATCTCCTTACCATTTGCCAAAACCCAAAGTCCACTGTCATCATGGCAATTCCAACTCATAGTGACCCTGTAGAGCGAAACAGAACTACTCATTCTGTGTTTCTGAGACTATAAATCATTACAGGCGCAGACAGCTTTGTCTTTTGTGGATCAGCTGGTTGGTATGAACACCAAACCTGACACTTGCAGCTCATCACCAAGACTTTTAATCTTTGGGGAAGGAAAAACAAACAAACAAAAAACCCTGTAAATCAGATCATCAAGTCAGTTCTCACTATAGGGACCCTGGAAGACAGAGTAGAACGGCTCCCTAGGTTTTCTGAGAATAAATATAAACATAAACAACCCTCTTTAGAAGAGCAGTCACTTTCTTCAGTTATCCCATTGAGTATTGTCTTAGGCTGGGTGCTCTAGAGAAGCAACATTACTGGAGTGTGTATGTGTGTGTGCACGAATGCATGTTACTGTGTGTGTCCTGGGGTGGGTGGGGGTTGTGTATGAGTTTGTGCAAGTTTATCAAGAAAATGTCTCAGAGTTGTGGAAGTAGGACTGACTGTTCCAAGTCTGGTCAAGGTCAAGTGCATGGGTAAGATGTTAGGCTAGAGGATTCTTTTAACTTGAGTACCTGTGGGGACTGTTGTACCCAAGATGGGCAAGAAGCTAAATGGTAAAAGACAGATAACATTAAAGCTAATAGAAAAGTAACCTTATAAAACAAAACTAATGGCAACTTAGCATATGAATTTATATAAAGCTTTCTATATGCTAGATATGATTTTAAGTTATTTACATATATTAATCCATGTACATTTTCACAGTAATTCCATGTTACAGATGAGAAAACTCAGGCAAAGAATATTTTAAGTAACTCAGTCAGTCCAGTTGTATGGTCATATTCTTAACTGAAATCCCATGCTATTGTCTCCATGGCTTTGCTGATAAAATTGCTAAAATATAATAAAGACTAGGTATTTATTGTATGAATGAGAACATTTACAAAATAAATTATCAAGGGGGCAATAAGGAGGGAGTGAGGGTGGAGGAGGGAGGGCAAGAAATGAACTGATGCCAGGGGCGCAAGTAGAAAGGAACTGTTTTGAAAAAGATGATGACAACATATTTACAGATGTGTTTCACACAATGGATACATGTATGGATTGTGAGAAGAGCTGTAAGAGCCCACAATAAAAAAAAGAATGTAACAGAAGATTATGAGTTTTAAATGTAAAGTTTGGTTTAGATACAAGGTAGGATAGTTTGAATATAAACTCTATCTTAATATTATTTTTAGTTACTAAATTTAATTTTTCTTGCTACTCTTTCCTTCATAAATCATGAATCTCCATAAAACATATTATTTGGTACTGTGAGTGCATTCATATTTTAACATATAATCTAATGTTTCTCTGTTGTAGGCTTATGATCTGTGAATATGTCTTCTAACATACCACCTGTTAATAATAAATTTGGAGTAATATCTGCTACTTATTATAATCAACTCCTCAATAATAATTTTCAAAATTTAAATAAAACAAAGAGGAGCAAACCAAGGTGAGTATGAACTTACCTTATTAGATAGGCAGGATTTAAAATCCAGAGGAGAAAACAATGGGACCAATGGTTCCGGGAGGACATGGGAGAGGGGGAGGCGGGGGAAAGGAAGGTGGGTGTCAACCAAGCCAGGGACAAGGGAACAAGAAGTGATCTAAAATCAATAGCAAAAAGGATATAGGATGCCTGATGGGGCTTGATCAAGGGCAATGTAGCTGAGAGGAATTACTGAAACCTGAATGAAGGCCGAACATGATAGTGGGACAAGAGGAAAGTAAAAGGAAATAGAGGAAAGAACCAGGAGGCAAAGGACATTTGTAGAGGCCTAAATACAGGCATGTACATATGTAAATACATTTATATATAATGATTGGGAAATAGATCTATGTACATATATTTATATGTTAATTATTAAGGTAGCAGATGGACATTGGGCCTTTACTCAAGTACTCCCTCATTTTGTTCTAATAACCGGCATTCTGTGATGCTCACCTTCCTGACGTGATTGCTGAAGACAAAATGGGTGCATATGCAAATGTGGTGAAGAAAGCAGATGGGTACCCAGCTATCAAAAGATATAGCATCTGACTTAAAGGCTTGAAGGTAAACAAGCAGCCATCTAGCTGAGAAGCAACAAAGCCCACATAGAAGAAGCGCAGCAGCCTGTGTGATCATGAGGTGTTTATGGGATCAGGTATTAGGCATCAAAGACCCAGAACAAAAAAAATCATATTAATGTGAATGGGGGGAATGTGGAGTGGAGACCCAAAGCCCATCTGTAGACAATTGGACATCACCTTACAGAAGGGACACAAGGAAGAGGCAAGCCAGTCAGTGTCTAGTATAACACCAATGAAACAAACATACAACTACTTTCCTCTAGTTCTTCAATGCTTCCTTCCCCCACTATCATGACCCCAATTCTATCTTATAAATCCGACTAGACCAGAGCACGTACACTGGTACAGATAGGACCTGGAAACTTATGGAATCTAGGACAAATAAACCCCTCAGGACAAATAATGAGAATAGTGATACCAGGAGGGTAAGGGGAAGGTGGTGGGAAGAAAGGGGGAACCAATCACAATTATCGACATATACCCCTCCCAGGGAGACGGACAACAGAAAAGTGGGTGAAGGGAGACATAGGTCAGTGTAAGACATGAAATAATAATAAAAACATATTTTATTATTATGGGGAGGGGGAAAATGAACTAATACCCAGGGCTCAAATAGAAAGAAAATGCTTTGAAAATGATGATGGCAATATATGCACAAATGTGCTTGACATGATGTATGGATGTATGGATTGTGATAACAATTGTAAGAGTCCCCAATAAAATTATTATTTTTTAACTCACATTAGTACAGAAATGGACCCATCCACATTATCCAGATTCTAGAAAGTAAGAAAGCTGTGAATGATAAATATGCATCTATAATTTTATAACCAGGAATAATAATTTAAAATTTTACTATTTTATGTAAGTACCTTCTTTTTTGGTAAAGATTCATATAATGTGTTAGTCTGGGTCTACTAGAGAAACAAATTCATCAACATTCATATGTGTATAAAAAAGTTTTATATAAAGAGTAATTGTATATTAAGAAAACATTCGAGCCCAGTCCAGATCAAGTCCATAAGTCTGATATTAGCCCATATGTTCGTTTGATACCAGTCTATAAATTCCTCTTCAGACTCACACAACACATGGAATGATGCCGAAGACAGGAAGAAAGATTACAGGCCAGTGGGTAGAGTCTTTTGGATCCAGTGGTGGCGGAAGTATCTCAGTGCTGGCAGGGGTCTCCACATGGCTCCACCAGCTCCAGGGTTTTGACTGCCATTAGTGAAACTCCATGTGGCTTGCAGCAGGAAGGTGAAGCAAAGAGCGAGTCTGTGTGGGTCTGGCTTCCACTGAGCTATTTATCTCCTTAGTGCTGCCAAATGAGGTCATCAAGCTGAGACCTGATTGACCAGTTAGACTCCACTCCTTTGCAAGTTGATAGGAGATTATGTAACTGCCACAGACCACCCCTTGTCAACTTGACACTTTTACACAACTCTTAACCATGCATAATTTTTGCCAAAACAGTATTAAAATCATATTTGTACCTAATAGAATAAAACTAAAGTGCATATACTTCCATGTGCCAGTCTCATTTAAAGCATAATATTCTATAAGTGAACAAAACAAAAATATTCTATGCCTAACAATTGCAGTTCAGTGAACACCTGCACCACAATCCTATCAACATATCCCCCCACCTATACTGCCACACATACTTTATAAATTTTTTATGAATTTTTGAGTCCTGTTTTTATGTGAAATACTTTTCTTTGATCAAATGTCTTTTAAATGACTACAGCAATCTATAAAATACCTAAGAGAAATTGATAACAACTATACTGTAAAGCAGGAGCCCTGGTGCATAGTGAATTATATGTTTGGCTGCTTATTGCAAGGCCAGCAGTTCAAACCTAATAGCCACTCTGTGATAGTTTCAAAAAAGATTTACAGCCTCAAAACCTAAAGGAACTGACCTATAGGCTGCTAAGAGTTAGAAGTGACTTGATAACAGCTGATTTGGGTTGGTATTGTAAATCATTTTAATAACTTATAAGTCACAGTGGAATTTTTTTTTGTATTTCAAATTGTTTCATTGGGATAGAGTTTAAAAAATGAGATTACTAGCTTAATGTTTGTAGATAACTTAAAAATGTTGCATGACTTTTGAATTCTAAGAAAAAATTATTTTGCCTGCATGGAAAAGTCACCATTCAAATTAACTCAGGCAAAACTGAAAACACAGCAACAGCAATTTAATGGACAGACACGGGGCTATCTCATGAGATCTAAGAGCAGAAAGTGCAGCCAGGTCTCATTAATTTATTCACTATTCACTGTGTGTTCTCTACCATATAGTGGAAATAAATGATAGATGCAGTCCACATTCTCACTAAGACTACAAATTTAAAGAAAAGAGACTCTGGCTATATATCAGTACATCATCATCCAGAAAACATTGACTCAGGCTCTGCCGGGGAATGAGGCAGAAAGCAGCTTTCTGAGATTTGGAGTGCTATGTTCTTTCAGTTGGAAATATGGTCTTTCTAACAGAAACGAAGTCAGACACCATGTGATAGATTTTTGCAAGACCAAAGACTTTGTCATTGCAAATACCCTTTCAAAAACATAAATTGTGACTAGCCACATGGACTTCATCAAATGTAATACACAGGAGTCAAATTGATTACATCCGTGGAAAGAGATGACGGGGTAGCTCAGTATCAGCTGCCAAAGGAAGGCCAAGGACTGACTGGGAACAGATCATCAGTTCCTTATATGTAAGTTCAGGTTGATGTTGCGGAAACTTTAAACAAGTCTGTTGTCCTCTCTGGATGTCCCTGGCCTCCAGCTCTGCTTTCCTCCAAGAATCGGACAGGCAGTGGCCCAACCATGATAAAAAAGTACCACACTGCACAGTCTCTCACTCAGCCAAGACTTTCTTTCAAAATGAAAGCAGGTTCTGAAGGAATCGGCTCGATGGCAAGGAGTTTGATTTTGGTTTCTGCATGGTCTAACTATCTGTGGCACCAGGGACAGCTAAAACATTAAAATGATGTAAACAAATAAACAAACAAGGAAACAAAAATGATAATACCAAATGCTGAAAGGACTGAAAAGGGACTAGAAAAGATTTTTTGTCTTCATGTAATCTATATTTTTCAATCCAAGGGAATGGCAAGATAAATCGAGGTCTGTGTGTGCATATATATTTTTCTTTCATATGTGAGACATTTTTATTAAAAGGTAAAGTACCTGGTTTTAGAAAATAGTAATTCTTAGTTTCTGCAAGTCAACTAATTAAAAATGAGTATTAATATCTATAATTATTCATTTATTTTTTAATTTAGGCAACCATTTTCAATCACAAGACATTTCATCTTGAAATTCAACAATACATGTGACCTAGGAGAGAGTGAATATTTAAAGGAACAAATTAGAAGAACTATTCTTAGATGTAAGGTAATGGTACACTAATTTCTTTTGTATGTAAAATTTCTCCTCTAGGTGGCAGATGATTACATGTTCTAAAATATAGGAAGAAAATATAAATATACTCACATTCTTTAGTTATAAATAGTTATAGTTGAGAATGTTCAAGTTAACATTGAAATTTATGACCAAATAATTTAATGTCAAATGACTTCTGGGTCAAAGACACCAGTCAAAATATCAAAGGTTGGAAATGATAAACATTTCACTTTTCCAAAAACCAAGTTATCTAAGATATGATATGACTCAGAAGGGAAACAGAGCTGTTCTAACCTTTCACTCCACACGCAGAAATAGTCTGGTTTTCTTAACTTACAAAAGACCAATCATTACGAGTATTGATCCATAGATTTTGAAATAGATTTCCAACGAAAACAGGAAGGGAAATAAATTCTTGCTTTTTCTTTTTGACATTAGAGTCAGTTTAAATTTGCAGAGAAATTCCATATATGTGACTTTGCTTTGATACCAAGTAATTAATGAAGTAAAAGCTGTGTAAATGTGGTTCATAAATTAATATCATCTGTTTTTCATTGTTGTTGTTATTGTTTTCCAGTATTTTGGTTCATAGTGGCTTGTAAATTTAATCATGTGAACCATATTGTCATGTAAACTATATTAAAATTGACTGAAACAAAGAGTATACTTTTGATTGGCATGCATGCCCGCAGTCCACGTGGACTGTCATCAGTTAGCTCTGGCTGATTGGCTGAATGCCCTCGGGAATGGGCCAGTAAGGGAAAATTGGCAGTGGGTACCCTGGACAATCCTGATCAACACTTTCATGTTCATTAGCATTGGTTCGTCCACAGTGAAACAGCCAGAGTTTTCCAACAAACTGGCGTCAAACTAGTTTTAGTTTAATCACACTTCCTCACTACTTTCCCATATAAAAACCAGCAAAGCAATCTCTTGAGAAAAAAATAATTTCCAGAAGTAAAGAAAGGGAATTATTTTCAGCAAATAATAACATTACTCAGAATGTTAAACATTGTATACTATTAACACTAATATAATTTACCTAAAATGTCCAAAAAAAGGAGTTTTATGTAACTTTGGTCACAGAGCATCATCTTCATAGAATGACTTTCTGAATACAAGTAAGGGATAATCAAGTAAATAAAAGGCTGCACATTTTGGTTTGCATCTTTCTTGCTTCCTCCTTACAGAGAAGACTGGGTCTCAGAACCTTAGGCTCTGGGAAGCACGTGGATATCCCTTCTGGGTGGACGGAAGCGATATATCTGGCTCAGTGCAAAGGAGACATCCAAGAAGGTATGTGCTTGAACTAAGCTCCTCTTACTTGCTGTTTTCTGGATTGGCAGTGAAGGACTTATCTGAGAACTTTTAAGTTCTAGGAATTGTTTAGGAGCCCAGAAATGTTTGTCTCTCGCTACCAAAATGTGTCATAATGTTTCTAGAGGAAAATTCTTTTTGTGATTTGAATTTATGCATTCTACTTTTAGTTGCAAAGTTGTTTTACAATGTAGGTTTGGCATCGTCTTTATTAATTTATTATTCAAAGTGCATCTAACCGCTTTCAAGCCTTGTGACTTTTGTCTAAAATTAGTAACCAATTAAAAAGCAACATAGACAATTATTTAGTGATTGTGAATACTTAGAGAAACCTGTTTCTGCATTTTATAATACTTCTTATTCAAACTCTATTAACCAATGGTCATTGAAAAATTATTTTAAAGCACTGTTTACTAATTTATTTCTCATCTATTACTTTCCATTTATATGTTTCCAAACAATCTAAAGAAGAAAATTTAAAAGCATTATTTTAAAATGATTTTGAAATTGTGGATTAGGTTGGGGGTTTACATTTCTGTTCATCTCCTCTGCGTTCAACAGTTCAAACCATTCATCCTCCTGACCCCTTGGAAGCTACCATACCCCCCCTCGACCCCTGTCCCTAATTTCCCTTTACCCTCTTGTGGACCTCCATCCTCCCTTTGACTCAACTCAACACTTGTAGTTCATTGCTTAATCTTCCTCCCTTGCCTAGGCAATATCCAAAGTCCCTTCCTTTGGTCTGTATGTCTTTGTCTTGATATTTATCCCTATAGTAGTAAGTAGTCCCACACAGCGTTTGTCCTTCTGGCTAATTTAACTCAGTAGAAAGTTCTCCAGGTCCATACACAGAAGTTATGTCAGCTAACCCTGGAAACTTTTCAATTATGATCTTGTTAAATGGTGAACATCCTTTTTTGAAAAATTTTTTTCCTTATTTTGAAAATATTGTTGATTGACTTTTCGCTTACATACAACCAAATACATTTTAGCTCAGTTAACTCTTGTAACACCTTAAATATGATGTCTTCTCATCAGCTCCCAAACAGAAATGCTCTCCTCATTGCCATACTGCCTATATTCTTGTCTGATTCTTGTATTACAGTTTGCCCACCACTCAGCACTGACCATTCAATAGCTTGAATCAGTTGCGTGGCCTCTGATTCCAGCTAAACCTGAAATCAACTAAACCTCCAAATTGTAGCCTAGAAGGCTATACATGATCTGGTCACTGGCTACCTTGTCTACTCAATCATTTTGTTCCAGCCAGCCTGGCATTCTTTCTGTGCCTTTACTATGCCAGGGTTCCTGTCCCTTTATTATGCCAGGGTTCCTGTCCAGTGGTGGATTCAAATAATTTATCAACTGGTTAACTGCCCTAATGACTTTTTAAAGTATAAACAAAACTGATATACAGGAATGCAGTATATTACTTAATACAATTAATACTTAAATAAGAGCAAGAAAATAAGTACATGTTATTGGATTATAAGAAAGATTTGAAAAATATTAATGAAAAATTTAAAATAATACCTGCAAAGATACCAATACAACTGTTAGTTAAGATATTGCACATTGCTTCTTGATGGGCATGCTGACTTGCACTGTTCTTCACTTTTATTTATTTATCTATCTATTTATTTATTTATTGTTCTTCACTTTTATATGAGCATCATCAGCTGTGTTATTTATCCTCCATCATCTCTTCACTATAGGAGTAGGATTCCATTCCTGTGGAGGTAGGCCCATTCCAAAATAGTCATTGTGTTTGATATCTTAGAAAAACGCAACTCTTCTTCCCTGAACATACTATATTCATCTTTGAAAAAAAACCTTTCTACTTGTGCTGAACTTAGAGCACAATATTTTTAGCTCTTTGAACATTGTCAGGAATTGCATTGTTCACTCATAATATCTCACGAGAATTTGGGGCCTAGCACAAAGCCAAGATGAATGAATGACAGAGTGTCACCTTGTGGGTGTTTGGCACTTGACATAATATGTTTGTTTACGGAAGTAACAAATGCAAGGAATAAAAATGTGGTATTTCATCAAAAGTATATTTCATAAAATGAATAAATAAATATGACAAGTGTAGTTCTAGCTAATATTTTATACCTGTGGACGGAATTCTATGGTGCTTAGAATATGCGGTTGTGCAGATGAATGTTTAAAAAATGTGAGGAATGTCAATTTGTGATTTCCACATTGGACAGCTGCCCAGCCACCCACTGTGGAGCGAACCCTGATTACAAGTGCCATTTGAACAGCAGGTTTGTCGAATTCAACCAAAAATTAGGTGTCTGTTTTGCTGAGCTGGTGCAAACTGGCTGGATCCCACCACTGTTCCTGTCCTTTTAATATGTCAGTGTTTCCTCCCTCAAATCCTTGCATTTACTGTTCCCTAGACCCCCATATTTACATAGAAACTCCTAGAAATAACCTTTATACTGACTGGAGGCACAGTCTTCCCAGTTTCTTAACTCTATGTTCTTCCTCCACCTGTGCTTGGTCCTCTTTCCTCTGTCCCATTTTCTCTGACGCTCTTCGCTTTTACACTCCTTTTCTTTAGCACAGCTTTTCATCATCCATATCTGTCTTATTTCTCCACTGTTAGATATGTGGTGTTGTGATCAATTTGGTTTCGGCTACAGCACTGGGACTCCTCCATCACATCTCTTTCTATCTATGTAGTCCCTGCAGCTTGGTGACCTTTGAATGGCTAGACTCCCTACATGGCACTTTAGGCTTCCAAAATGAGTCTATGGAAAGACCCAGGAAGAAGCCACATTGCTGTTTCTTATCTAGCTTTAGAAGTCATAGTGTGTCAGTTTTACCACATTCCATTGGCTGACACCTTCACAAGCCCTTCTCAGGCTCAAGGGGAAGGGGCGGTCTTCTTGATGAGGGGAATGTTGAAGAATTTGTACATATGCTTTAAATTGACAACTTAATTCTAGTAACTGAACAAATAGATGATTGCAAGAAGGATTCATAGCATGTAGAAAAATAGCATAATGCTTAAATAATCAAGTCTACTTTTTAATATTTCAGAAGCTTTAAATGTGCTTTATGCTTCCCTGGACCATGCACCCTTTGATTACAATCAGCTACCTGTGTTGTTTTTTGTTGCGGAATCAGTTTTATATAGACTCTGCTGTGATGCATTCTTAAAGACATACTTATATTCAGTTGAAATGAAGTTGGCAAAGGTATGTTTAAAAATATTTTTCTTTTGCTACCAGATCTAACCATTTTAGAATCTAAATGGTATAGTTTAAGTTTTTCTATTTATGGGCAATATGTAAATGTTTGTTATCCAAATGGAGATAGTCTGAAGAAACACAATATCATTAACTGTATAAGAAAAGAACATTTAATTAAAAACCAAGTTTGCACTTATTGTTTGGAGATCTATCTATCTATCTATCTATCTATCTATCTATCTATCTATCTATCTATCTATCTATCTCTATCCTGAGCAAATCATCAGAGAACCTGACATATCTGAAGAAGAATGTGACATTAGGATTGAGGAAAGCTTATTAATGACCTTTGATATGCAAACGACACAATCTTGCATGCTGACAGTGAGGAAGACTTGACACACTTGCAGATGAAGATCAAAGATTACAGCCTTCAGTATGGATTACAACTCAATGTAAGGAAGGCCAAAATCACCACAACTGGACCAAGAGCTAACATCTTGAAAAATGGAGAAAAGACAGAAGTTGTCAAAGATTAATTGTTTTGGATCCATGATCTATGCTCATGGAAGTAGCAGCCAAGATAGCAAATGACAGCACTGTGGTGCATAAATCAGCTGCACCAGACATCGTTAGAGCTGAAAAGTAAGAAGACTAACCAAGCCATGGTATTTTCAGTCACTTCATATGCATACAAAAGTTGGACATTGAATAAGGATGACTGAAGAAGTCTCAATGCATCTGAGTTCTGGTGCTGGTGAAGAATAATGAAAGTACCATGGACTTCCAAAAGCACAAATAAATCTACCTTGGAAGAAGTACAGCTAGAATCCTCCTTGGAGGCCAGGGAGGAAAGACTTTGTCTCACGTAATTTGAACATGTTATCAGAGAGACCAGTCCATGGAGAAGGACATCATGCTTGCTAAAGGGCTTGTTGTTGTTAGGTGCCATTGAATTGGTATCAGTCATAGCGACCCTTATGCACAACAGAACAAAAACACTGCTGGGTCCTTTGCCATCCTCACGATTGTTCCTGTGCCCAGTGTAAAGTTGGTAGGCAGTGAAAAAGAGGAAGGCGCAAGATGGATTGGCACAGTGGCTGTAAAATGGCTATAACATAAGAATAACTGTGAGGATGGTGTAGGACAGGGCAGGATTGTATTCCGGTGGACATGGGTCTGTAGAAGTTACGGAATCTGGTGTCAATATGACGACTAAGAGTATAGGGGTGGAGTCTAGCCTGTCAATCAGGATATAGCCAGGGAGGCCTCTGTGTGGACATGGCCTTCTCCTGAGGATTCCGGGAACTCCTGTATTTCCTCCTTGGAGGCAGAGACACACTCTCTCGGCTCACTCCCATGGAGACTGTCTACTGACAAGACTCAGTCCCTGTGAGACATTTCTGAGGAGAAGCCACATAAAGCTACCCTGAGGCAGTCAGAGTTTTAGAGCTGAAGGAACCACACGAAGATCCCTGCTGAGTGCTGAGATGCTTACACCACCACTGGATCCACAAGACGTCCAACCCACTGACCTGTGATCGTCCTGCATTTGGCGTCATTGAATGTATTTTGTGAGCCTGAAGAGGACTTCTTAGATTGGTATTGGACATATGGGCTAATATCGGACTTATGCACTTGATCTGGACTGGGTTGGGATGTTTTCTCAATATTCAATTGCTCTTGTATATAAACTTCTTTCTTATATACATATGAGTCTCCCTTGATTTGCTTCTCTAGTATGCCTGGACTAACACACAGGGTCTCTATGAGTCTGACCAATTCGATGACTGCTAACAACATACATACATACACACACATACATACATACATACATACATACACACATACATATATAATATACACACACATATATGATATGCATACTGTATTGGGCACATGTACTGCCAAAGACCTCTTCTAAGTGATAAGAGCAAAGATGTCACTGAGTACTCAGGTGCACCTGACCTGAGCCATGGTATTTTCATGTGCCTCATATGCAGGCAAAAGCTAGACAATGAAGATGGAAGACCGATAATACATTGATGCCTTTAATTATGGTTCTGGTGAAGAAGATTAAAATACCATGGAGTTAACAAATATGTCTTGCAAAAAGAATAGGCAGAGCACTCCTTAGAATTGAGGATGGTGGTGAGACTTCATCTCACATACTTTGTTATCCGCAGGAACCTGTTTTGACAGTGGAGAACTTTTGTGGGTTTCTCAGGCATATATCTTAAGGAAACAAAAGCCGCCTCTCTCTCCTACAGAGTGCCTGCTGGGTTTCAAATGCTGACTTCTGATCAGCAGACCAGCACAGAACCCAGCACACCACAAACGGACTTTAGTGGGTGGGAAAATTCCCTGTACAGTACTTTGAATTCCAGTTTTCCGTTAACTGTTTCATGTCCCCTTATATACGCGTTGTTGATGCTAGGCCTCATGTAAATCTGATTCACAGTGACCATATGTACAATAGAACTGTACCATGCTCATAATTGCTGTCATGTTTGAGCCTATTGATCAGCTACTGTGTCAATCCATCTCATCTAGTGTCTTCCTCTTTCTCATTTATATATAAATATATGTATATGTATGTAATATATGTGTGTATATGTTTGTGTGTGTGTGTATACCTTCTGGTATATTTTTGAAAGTTTTAACTATCACTATTTTGTCCTTTTCCAGAATGTCATGGTTTATCTACTAGACAACTTGCATTCCAGTTGTTTCTATAATTTACATTTCCCCCCCGAAACTTCCTGTGAAAGCAGTCATATAATTTACTTTTGAGATATATTTTCTGAAGTCTGTATAAACAAAACTGCTTTAGTTAGGCATTTTTAATATTTTGTAGAAGAAAAGCTTTTTATAGTGCTTACTTATTTCGGAGTTACATTTTTCCATGTGGGTGTGGTATTGTGCAGTATAGAATCCTTATGCACAAGCAAAATATTTTACAATCCTATTTAAAAGCAACAACTTACAAACTGCTTGACTGATACCTATAGGAAGAAGTATCTTTAAATTACAATTTCAACCACACATAATAAACACTCATTTATATACTGAAACAAAGAACAACAGTGTAATATACACTATGATATCTTTATGTTTATTTAATTTTCATAACTCCTCTCAATTGATTTCCTGATTCATGTAAGGGTCATACCTTATAATTTCAAAACTACTATTCTAAAGGATATAAAACAAAACAATGGATGGTAGACATTATATGTAATGTAAGGAGATATATAAAAGGCTTTTGGCTGAACTAGCATTTCAACATTTATCTTGATGTTTTAAAGTTATTCTCAAAACACAAAACATCAGGTGAGCTTGACATTGCTATTGAAAATGAATTTAATAATAATATGTATTGTTTCCTTGTATTGTTTAAAAACATTTTTTGATGTAACATAAAACTGGTTTCTTCTTTCTCTTTTGACAGATTGGCTATTTGGTCTTCTTACGACTTTTTGTATTTTTTCTGCATGATCACTTGGGATGTTTTAAAAGACATTTACTTAGGCTTCGACCATATTTACAAGGTATACTATCCTTTATTTCTAAACATAAAACTGTTTTGTATTCTGTTCTGAGAAGCTCAGGCTTTCACTATAAAGAGCATAAGTTGTATTTTGTTTTTCATGGAAAATAATAGCTGAGAATTGAAGAGTACAGCATCTAGGCTGCATATATGTGAATATATGTGGTTTTCTGTGTGCTACTTAACTAGCTGTGTTGCCTTGTATGTTACTCAGTTTTATCATCTCTTACAACACCTAATTGCTACTAGCAAGGTAAATTCATATTGCAATAGGATAATCCTAGGTGTTCTCTTATTACACTGGTATGTCATGTTGTGGTGGCCTATGTGTTACTGTGATGCTGTAAACGATATTACTGTATTTCAAATGCCAGCAGGGTCAGCCAAAGTGAGCAGGTTTCAGCAGAGCTTCCAGACTAAGAACAGACTGGGAAGAAGGAATGGGCTGTGCACTTGTAAGCCGGGGATCATTGAAAACCTTATGGGTGTCGGCAGAGCATTGCCAGATCATGGAAACCTCTCGAGCAGCAGCAGAACACTGACAGAGAGAGTGCCAGAAGATCAACACCCCCCCACACCCCCACCGCCTGTTAGAAAAGCTCATTACCATCGAGTTGATGCTAACTCACAGTGACCCTGTAGACAGGGTCGAATGTCCCCCTTGAGTTTCTGAGACTATAACTATTTAGGGCAGTAGAAAGCCCTGTCTTTCTCCCTCTGAGAGGCTGGGAGCTTTGAACTACTAACCTTGCAGTTAGCAGCCCACAGGCACTCAAAATATGACTGAGGAAGAGCTGCCTTCTCAAAGTAGAATTGATACGGATGGAGGAAACCTGTGGGGATAAAGCCTTTGGGACCACACTTGCTGATGGGGCACCACACATTGAGAAGAAACAGCTGCAAACATCTATTAATAAGTGGAACTTGGAATGCACAAAGTTTGAATCTAGGAACATTGGAAGTCATTGAAAATAAAATGGAAGGCATTAGGCTCAATATTCTAGGTGTTAATAAACTGACATACACTGGTTTTGGTCATTCTGACCAGAAAATCTTATGGTTTTCTATGCCAGGAACAAGAGAGTCAAGAGGAATGGCATTGCAATTATTGTCAGAATGGACATTTCAAGATCTATCTGTGATAGAATATTCACTATCTGCTTACAAGGAAATTCAGTCAATACAACTATTATTTAAATTCACTCAGTAACCACTGAATCTAGTGATGCAGAAATTGAAGAATTTTACCAATGTCTTTAGTCTGAAATTGATCAAATGCAATCCAATGCACTGATGATTAGTGGTGTTTAGAATGTCAAAATGGAAAACAAAGGAAGAACAGTACAAAAACATGGCCTTGGTGATAGAAACAAAGCAGAAGATCACATTTTAGAATTTGGCAAGACCAACCACTTCTTCATTGAAAATACCTTTTTTTCAATAACACAAATAGCGATGATGACCATCAAGTTCCCTAGATGGTAAACACAGCAATAAAATTGACTCTATCTGTGGGAAGAGGCAATGGAGAAGGTTCAATATCAGCAACTAAAACAAGATCAGGGGCCAACTGTGGAGCAGAGTATCCTTTGCTCATATGTAATTCAAATTGAAGCTGACGGAAATGAAAACAAATTCACGAAAGCCAAAATATGACTTCAAGTCAATCCCACTAGAGTTTTGAGAACATCTCAATAACAGATTTGGCTCACTAAACATTAATGACAGATGATCTGATGAGCTGTGGGATGACATCAATAACATCATTCATGAAGAAAGCCAAAGGTCATTAAAAAGATGGGAAAGAACGAAAAAAATCAAAGTGGATATCAGAAGAGACTTTGACGATTGGTCTTAATCATACAGTACCTAAGGCAAATGGAAGACACGATGAAGTCAAAGACCTGAACAAGAAGGTAAAATAAAATATTATAATAAAATGTACAAAGACCTAGAATTAGAAAATCAAAAGGATGAACACGCTTAAACATATCTTAAACTGGAAGAACTAAAGAAAAAATTCTATCCTCAAGTTGTAATATTCTATAGACACAATAATGAATGATGAAGGAAGCATCAAAAGAAGACGAAAAGAATACAGAGTTACTGTACCAAAGAGAACTTGCCAACATTCAGCCATTTCAAGAGGTGGCATATGATCAAGAACCAGTGGCGCTAAAGGAAGATGTCCAAGCTGCACTGAAGACATTAGATTGAAAAAACAAAAGTTCCAAGAATTGATGGAATACCAACGGACATGTTTCAACAAGGTGATGAAGCACTGGCACTTGGCACAAATCACTTGTTTGTGCCAAGAAATTTGGAAGTCAGCTACTGGGCCAACGGATTAGAGGAGATCCATATTTGTACCCATTCCAAAGAAAGGTGACCCAAAAGAATGTGCAGATTAAAAAACAGCATCACTTATGTCTCTATGAGTCAAACACAACTCAATGGCAGTGAGTTATCATTTTCACTTGCAAGTAAAATTTTGCTGAAGCTCGCCCAACAGTGGTTGTACGAGTACATTGACAGGGGGCTTCCAGGAATTCAGACTGGGAGCAGAAGCAGACGTGGAACAAGAATATCATTACTGACGTCAGATAGATCTTTGCTATAAACAGAGAGACTATCAGAAATATTTCAAAGCTGATTTACTAACATCATCTGATTACTTAGTGATCCATCATAACTAATATTGTCCAGAGTCATATGATGAAAATTGATTTTGCCAGTCTACTGTCTCCACTCAGTTTCATAGTCTGTTAAGGTGTGTATTACTGGTGCATATTGGTTAGTTTCCAAAGCACTACTAATATTACCTCCTATGTTCTCCTCTGCGATGCTTCCCATTAAACATTCTTCTCTTTCTTCTATAGTATTTTTCCTTCCCTCAGCCTACAGCAAATTAATATTTTCTTTGTTTTTTAAAATCCAAATAATTGATTAATATTTCTCATGTCCTTTATTTCTGTTTTTCCCTCATGTCCTTTATAGCTATGCATTCTGGAAATAGTTTATAATTTTTATGTCTAAATTCACCCTTTAGTCTTCATTTTCCACCAGTGTGAATTTTGCTTTCACAATTCAACTGGACATGCACCCTCAAGATCAACAATGACTTCTGATTAGAAAAGCATATCTCAGTTTTCAGATGTTTTCCCAACTACTACAGGAGGCCTTAGGCAGTGAGCACAGTTACTGGGCTTAACTGCTTACCAACATGCTAGAAATCTGAATTGACCCAAAAGTTCTATGAAGAAGGGCCATCTACTTTAAAAATCAGTCATTTTTAGAAACCCTCTGGGACACAGTTCGACTCTAAGACACCTGGATTGCTGTTACTAAGTCCATTTGACAGCAATTGGATTTCTTAATACGGCATTGGTACTTCTTTGGCAGAATTCCCACCATCTTCCGGGATACCCAGTTTAAATTTCTAGCCAATGTACGTCTTATACAGCTCCTCCCCATGTGTCAGTGGAGGTTTATATGTTGCTATGCTGAGCAGGTTTCAATGGCGTGTCAAGATGAATTATGTAGGGGAAAGATCTATTGATTTACAACGTCAATCTTTGCTCCATTGATCATGATGTTGCCTATCGGTCCAGTTGTGAGGGTGTTGGTTTTCTTTACACTGAGTTGTAGTCCATACTGAAGGCTATAATCCTTGTTCTTCATCAGCAAACGCTTCAAATTCTCTGTACTTTCAGCAAGCAAGGTTGTCTTCTGCATAGCACAAGTTGTTTAAAAGCTGTCCTCAAATTCTGTTGTCATATTTTTCTTCATTTTAGCCAGAGTTTCTGTTGTTCAACAAACAGATTGAACAAATATGATGAGAGGATACAACCCTGAAGTGCCCTTTTCCTGATTTTAACCATAGAGTAGTCCCACTTGTCCGTCAGTTGTTGTATTGTGGTGGCTTGTGTGTTGCTGTGATGCTGGAAGCTATACCCTGGTATTTCAAAAGACAGCAGGGTCACCTACAGTGAACAGGTTTCAGCAGATTTTTCAGACTAAGAACAGGCTATGAAGAAAGAATAGTCTGTCCACTACAGAGGAATTAGCCACAGAATACAATTTATTCTCCTTCTTAATTCCTCACTCTCTCTTATACTCATGTATACCCTAGGTCCAGTTGATCACTAACTCAGGCCTCTTTAATCTTGTCAATATTTTTCAAAGCCATTTCACTCTATCCCAATTTATGCACCATAATAGTTCATACTAGGTATACTACTGTTATAACTAACTGGCCCTCCCTTCTTATTCTAGTGCGGCAGAATCATAGCTCCTGAAAACCAAAATCACTGTCATCAACTGGATTGATGGCTACCCTATATGGGGTTTTGCATAAATCTCAATTCCTCATCTTTTTCTTGCAAATCAACTTTCTGATGGATGTGAACTGCGATTAGCAGACCGGAGACCAGCAGGACTGATTTCAGAACCAGTTTGTTGTTGTTAGTTGTCAGTTCTGACTCATAACAGCCCTGTATGCAATAGAGCAAAATACCTCCTGAGCATGCACCATTCTCAGGATAGGCCCTTGGGGACTTGTTTCAATTTTCTTCAGCTTCAACTTGAACTTGCATATGAGCAACGGTGGTCTGTTCTGTTCCACAGTCAGTTCCTGGCCTGGTTTTAGCTACTGATATTGAGCTTCTCCATCATCTCTTCTCACAGATGTATCCGTTTGATGTCTGTGTATTTTATCTGGAGACATCTACATGTAGAGTTGCCTTTGTATTGTTGGAAAAGAGGGATTTGCAATGAATAAGTCCTTGGTCTTTAAAATTATTATCATGAGCTCTTCAGCTCCATTTCCATCATGAAAGCCATATATTTTTCTAACTTTGGATAATTATATATTTTTAGCAGTTTTATTGACACTTCATCCACATATCATACAATTCAATAGTTCAAACATACAAAGTTGAGGTGTACAATCTTTATCACAATCAACACAATCAATTTTCTTTTTCCTTGTACTCAATGTTATTCATGGTTGTTTTTTTTTCAACTTTGGCAAAAATATACACAACAAAACACACTCCCATTCAAAACTTCTACATGTATAATGCAGTCAAGGTCATATTTTGTAACTATTCTTTCTTCTTTATTTTCAAGTTTGACATACCAAACCCCAATAATTATCAATGCATCTTGATTCCATGTTTGATAAATTTAAACCTGAAGACATTGGTAAAATTCTTCAATTCCTGCATCACTGGTTCTAGTGGTTGGTGCATAAATTTGAATAATAGTTTTATTGGTTGAATTTCCTTTTGTGTGGAGTGATATTGTCTTGCTTCAAACTCCAAAATCCACATACCTTGACTAGTTGGTAACATATTGTTAAATGAGTAAAGGTGGAAGTTGTCAAGGATTTCATCTTGTTTAGGTTCACAATCAATACTCATGTGACAGCAATCAAGAGATCAAATTATGCATTTCATTGGGAAACTCTTCTGCACAAGACCTCTTTAAGGTGTTGACAAGCAAGAATGTTCATTTGAGGACCAAGGTGTGCCAGACCCACGGCATGCATTTTCAGTCAAATCATAGCTCTGTGAAAGTTGGACATTGAATAAGACTGCAGAAGAAGAGATGCATTGGAATTCTAGTGCTGGTGAGGAAGAGTGACAGTACCATGGACTTCCAAAAGACCAAACCAATCTATCTTGGGAGGAGTATAGGCAGAATACTCCTTACAGTCAGGATGGGAAGACTTCATCTCACATACGTCGGACATGTTGTCAGGAGAGACCAGACCCTGGAGAAGGACATCATGCTTGGAGGGGCAGTGCCAAAGAGAAGGGTCCTCAACAGGTTGAATGGACACAGTGGCTGCAAAAAGGGGCTCTAGCATGGGAACAATGGCGAGGGTGGTCCAGGACTGGGCAGTGTTTTATTATCTCAGACACAGGGTTGCTATAAGTCAGAACCCACTCAGTAGCACCTGAGGACCACAGCAGCATCCATGTGCTATCTGTCCAGAATGGTCACCATTAGTTCCTCTTCTGTGTGAATGGACTGAAACTCAAAGAATGTCTGAAAGTGTATAGAAAGAAAAATACAGAGGTGGTTCTGGTAAATATCAGATAATATTATGTTGAATTATTATAATTTATACCTATATTTAATACATGCTTTTCAAAAGTAATAAATGCATCTAGGAAGGAAAGGAACTAAATACATTTAGGTTAAAATTAATATTGATATGTTTGTAGAATTATAGTTTTCAAGTTTCCGTTATAAATAAAATATCCATTATAACATGATTTGCTTTCAGCCGGGAGCTTCCCAGCATTGGGGAGCAGTAATAAACTTGGTCATTCAACAATTATGCAATTGCTTTCTGAAGGAATATGCATGCTTATGAATGAATTATTTATATTGTAGTTTTCTTTTACCCCACCAGGGGTCAGACATAACATTATAAATCTTACATCGATGAAGAAAATGTATAGTAGTTTCAAAATCCAAGTACTGAATTTAAATATAGCTTAATAACTAAAAGACAAATGAAACATTATACAAAATATTAATGGAATATTTCTCACAAATTGTTTTTCTTCCAATAGCGCTTTCTTTATCTGAAGAAACATATTGCACGTAT